TGTTTGAACGTGTTGAGAAAACACTTAAGCGTTGTTTGTCAGATTCGAGTAAGTTTGCAATAGAAAATCTACTTTGTGAACGATCCGATCACCATTGCTTTCGTGCTATTGTTTTTCTTATTGTGTCCTGGGTTGGCTAAAATCTCCAAATTAAATTCGCTACAGTTGCGATTTTTACGAGAAGAGGCTGTACACGCCCATTACCTAGCTTTTTACTCTGGAGGATTAGACTTGTTCTCAAAACTTACTTATTGTTATTATTCGGAGAATTCTTTGTCCTTCAAGGAATGATACCGTTATCGCTTTATTAATTTATTTATTCTCCAATTATTGTGGAATTTAATTAATTTATGTTATCAAATGTTTTGCCCATACTTTGTTTCTATCACAGTGGAATATTTTTTCATTAAAAATTTTTAGTTTCTTATATACTGATTGTGAGTAGCAAGTCCAGTCGAATTTGGATCTTTTGTTTGCTTGCGCTAACAATAGCTATCCAGCACTCTGAATAATGAGGATATATAATTTACCAGAATTGAAGCTAGAGGAAATTCATGCGGTTGAGTTGGCGGGAGGATCAAGTCGCGTTCCTGCTATCAAGCGTTTAGTAGAGGAAGTCTTTGGTCGACCGGTATCGACAACACTGAATCAAGACGAGGCAGTCGCTCGTGGTTGCGCGTTACAGTGTGCTATGCTCAGCCCTGCCGTGCGTGTCCGTGAATTTTCTGTTACGGATATACAACCATACCCTTTGAAATTGACGTGGGATGCTACTCAAGGCGAGGAAGGGTATGTAATATAATTATAATTCCCCTATAAATATCCTGTTGTAACTGATGAAAATTAAATGTTTTTCCTAACTCTATTTTTCAGCGAAATGGAAGTATTTGGACATAATCATCCTGTGCCGTTCTCAAAAATGTTGACGTTTTATCGTTCGAGTCCGTTCACGCTAACTGCTAGTTACAGTGTACCGCCTCCGTGTTATCCGCAAACATATATTGGTATGGATTTACTTTTGTTTTTCTCATTTAAAATAATTTTTTCTAAATATTGGGTTGGCCAATAAGTCCGTGCGGTTTTTTATAAGTAAAATTTATATAAGTAAAAAAGCGCACGGACTTATTGGCCAACCTAATATTATAAAGAAACATTCAAACGTTTGAATTTAGGATAGAGAGGCTATGTATTTTATTTACACTTCTCTTATATCTTAAATTATATTTTACGCAGGAACGTTCACGATAAAGAACGTAAAGCCTACTCCTGAAGGTGAATCAGCAAAAGTCAAGGTAAAGGTAAGAGTGAATTTAAACGGCATTTTAACCATTGCGTCGGCTTCGCTTATCGAAAAACGTGAGCCGACTCAACAAGAGAAGGAAGAAGAAGAGGCTCAACAACAGCAGCAGCAGCAACAACAACCACAACAACAGAATAGTATGGATGTCGAATCACAAGCGACAGATAAAAAAGATAAATCTGATCAAGATGCACAGGCTAACGAACCACCAGCTCCAGAGGTTTGTAGTTTGGTTGTAATATTTTAAAGCTTGTAAAAAAAGGGGCAATGATAGCGTTGGAATAGATTATCGCGATTTTGATTTATTATAGTAATAAAAATATTACGTCACGGTATATCGAATATGTAAAGTTCGGAATCATATTCTATACTGATGTGCGATCTTGTGCATTGTCAGCGTTCAGGTGCATGACTATGTGAGTTTATTGTGGTTTAGGTGAGCATGGATAAGACACGACGGAACTCAGATGCTGATGATGGTGGAAAAGGTGCTGGGGGTTCTGCCCCTTCCTACTCCTCCAGGATTCTCTCTTGGTTCAGCTCGGTACGGGGCATACTATCTCTACTTGGACCCATACGCATACATTTATTTTGAGACATATGTGTGCGATAAATTCTAAGCTCTTGATCGTTGCATTGTTGTGAGTTACTGCGAGCATTCCTTCGTGTTTAGGGCCGATAGATTTAGATATTCTTTACCTTCTACCACGCTAGCATTATCGCTTATTTTGAAACGGAAATCGATTTGACGCAGTCCTCTCATGGTAACAATAAATGCACGACAATTGCAATCGTCTCATATAACGCAAGCGATATATTTGCCATCAATTTGACAACATTAAACGCATTCACGCACATTTTATTTTTAGTAATTAATTTGATTCACATTCTTTATTTTAACATAAAGTAATTGTGAGAGAAATTATTTATTAAAACAGTATACTCTTGATATCTTTAATTTATAATGTAATTATTTTATATTTTAAAATTTAGAAATTCCATCATTTACATTCATGCACAGAAACTTTCAATAGGATAAGAGTAGATAGAGATTGTTATAATTATCAAATGCATGATTTGGCTTAAGCTCAAGTTTTAAACCCTGTGTCGATTTCTTCTGCAAACTCGGCTATTTAGCGGCATTATAAAGATCTAAAGAAAGATTGAGCTTGCTCGTTTATGTATCAAATATCATTAATATCAAGTAACATCGTAATATATAATAGCCAGTGACATTATGTAATCCTTTATCAACCATTTTTTGGTAATGCATATGGGTCCAAGAACAGCTGTGTTACAACCGTGCTGTCTGTCTTGCTCTGCTATTCTATACACTGAGTCGCAGAAGGAAAAGAGACAGTGATGTCTAATGAAAATGCATTATATCGAGCAGTATATAGCAGAATATTCTTAGAGTATAAAGGCAGGCAACACTGATCAGTTTTCAATTCGTATAGAGAGAGAAAAAAATAATTTAGTACGTTATAAATGTACAAATGTGTAGATTATAATTATCTATTTACATATATATTCCATCTCTGTTACATGAGATGACATTTATACGGATTCAAAACTACACACGAAAGTGTATACCCCATTATCCTTGTCTCATCTTTGTCATCACCTGAATTCCAGTTTAGTTCTTTTTATTATTGTACACATTTTATTTACTTGATTTAATATATTTACGTTAGGCACAAACATAAAAGTGTTTGTAAAATTATGTTAAACACAAAAAAGAAAACGTTTCAAGAAAGTTTATTTTATATGTATAAAAAGGTAAGTAAATAATTTCATATAAATGAAATTTCTCTATTTATTAAACATTTGTATGCGTGGGACGCTTATTTGTTAAATTCTAAATAAATTTTGGAAATTGAGAAATATGATCGAATAATAAGCTTTCTTGAAAACGATTTTTTTTTTAATTATAGGTTCGTGCAAAATGCAGTGCTGAAAAGAATATGTTGATAAATATTTAGTAAGTTTTTTCTGTTTTAGGGGGATGATAAAGGCGACGATAAAAGTAAAAAAAAGATTCCCATTCGTACAATCGATTTACCTATTGAAGCTAATGTTTGCGGACTATCTCCGCGAGATCTCGATGCCGCAGTAGAAAAAGAGGTATGTATCGTTCGATATAAATCTCACATCAGACGTTATGCAACTTGTATGAACGTTGTATTATTTTGTCTTCAATTATAGCAAAAGAATTGTCGGTATAACATTGAATCATTACATAATTGCATGCATTTTGTTCGTGAATAGGGCAAAATGGTTGCTGAAGATAAACAGGAAAAAGAGCGAGTTGACGCGCGTAATGCCTTGGAAGAATATGTTTATGACCTGCGCGCTAAATTGTCCGAAGAGGATCAATTAGCTACATTCATCACAGAAACGGATAAAGAAGCGCTATGTCGTATATTAGATGATACCGAAAATTGGCTCTATGAAGAAGGAGAAGATTGTCAACGACAGATTTACTCGGAGCGATTGACGCGCTTGAAGGTATGTTATTTAATAGAATATTATCGGTTATCTAATGATTTATGTGTCATATAAGTTTTCTTTATTTTCCAACAACTTACTTTTATAAATCATAATTTCTAAATGCGCCGTGTTTTCTTTTTATTAGTCTCAAGGGGAACCAATAAAGGAAAGGAGATCAGAATTTGAAGGGAGATCTTACGCATTAGAAGAATTAGGAGTGGCATTACAACTGGCTAAGAAAAGTTTGGATCAAATAAAAATGTCAAATGGAAAGGATGACAAATATTCTCATTTAACAGAGGAAGAAGTGAAAACAGTTGAGAAAACTGTGCAAGAGAAATGGACATGGTTGGAAGAGAAACGTATTCTACTTGCGAGTACACTTCGCACGCAACAACCACCAGTTACTGTAGCGCAGATTCGAGCTGAGAAACAAGTAAGCATTGAAAAAAATCAGCTGTGTATGTGCGTATGTGTAATCGTATAAGCAATTTTCTTTTAACATACTTATTTTTTTATTGTTTATCTAGGCATTGGACAGTGTGGTACTACCTATTCTCAATAAGCCTAAACCTAAAGTAGAACCGCCCAAGGAGGAAAAACCAAAAGACAAGCCTACTGATGAACAGAAAAATAACCAAAATCAAAATGCCCAAGGTAACAATCACAGTCAATCCAATCAACAACAGCAGCAGCAGCAGCAAACAGAGGGAGAAAAAATGGATGTTGAGTAACGGTCACCGCAACTTATGCGTTTTTAATAATATTAAATCTACCATAATTGAAATAAGAAATATTTCATTTGGATAAATCGTGTTTATTATGTCTCGAAAGCGCCTGACATGTGGTTTGATTGCACATACTATTGTCGTTTATTCCGTTTCTTTTGTTTTTTTCTTTTTTCTCTGTAACATCTATCAATCTGGTAAATTAATCTATTTAATGGTATACATATATAAAATCATGAGCGTAAGCCTATCGCGCAAAACCGAAAGAAATAATATAAATTTGTGAAACTTGGAATATGCGAAAGAAATAATCTTTTAGTTAAAAGCAGCTTGTTATGGCATTCATGATATATATTGCAAATGAATTATAATCTGGATAAATTAGAGAAGCACGATCGCCTCGAACTATGGAAGTTTTTTTATATAGACTAAAGGTTTTTTTTTCTTTTCAACTTTTTAGTAATCTTTTAAATGCACATAACTGAATTACACAGAATAGATGTTTAAAAAGGATTTCGAAAACTATTGCCAGTAGAAAGAATTAATATGTTGCGACTTTTAATGTATAAAGTGAGTGCTAAGTTAGATCTAATTGATAAAATTAAATTGTGAACTAGATAATGTCGCTGGCGATCTTATGTATTTAATAATACAATTGTTCATTCCAACATTTTCTCACAGCCGACAGCAAATACTGTCAAATTTTTTTGTTGCATTTAAGATACTTGAAAAAATTAATATTTCACTATTTGAAATTGTGCTAAATCTGTTTTAATTTTGGGAATAACATCTATAAAGATGTTACAAGAATTTATTGCAATTTCTTTTTCTTTTTCTTTCTTTTTTTTTTTTTTTTTAGTTTCAATTGGACTTGAGTCATTGTTTTTAGTGCAAAAGTCACTTTCTAGAGAATTGTAATTCAACTAGATATATCGTTGTACATAACTTGTAGGCATCTACACAATGACATAGTATATTTCTTTATCTCTCATGATATTTATATTTCTATATTACTTCGCGGCACGTAGAAAATTCATTGTAGCGAAGATTTAGTTGTTCCTAGAATATGCAAGATAGGCGGTCCATATTTCATTTTTACGCCTAACTTTGTTCCCAGTTCCCACGTCGCTTTTAGCAACTAAGAGTCGCAAATTATTACATATGTATAGTATACTTACTATTAGGAAGATGTAAAAAATGTGAGTGTTAAAAATACTTGGCTTTTTTGAATCATAAAAGTTTTCACCACACACAATGCGTTTTTTGTTATTTTCTTATATATTTCACATGCGCAATCACGCATTTTGTTATATTTGTGATTCTCGCACATTTATAACACATGAATTATTACATTTATTTTTACGTTTATATGTCCAGCAATTATTTGATATCCGTCTTATATCCGGATATTATGAATTAGATATTTAATGAGTTCTACTCAATTTTTAATAACGCGTGTAAATAAATTGTCACATTTCCCCATTTATCTGATAAATACATATAAATTTATATTAAAAATTAATATAGTTTGAAATTTGGTTAGCTATTACGTTCCAAATAAAAGAATTACATAAATTTATTAGTAAGAAAATGGAAATGCCTAACAGCATTTTTGTTTAACCGGATGCTCTGGTAACGTTTTTGTCATATTGTGACTATTAAATTTGAATTAATCGATTCATATATTAATAAATATACACTTGTTTCATGTAATGGCTTAAATGGTTTTAAAATATTTTCTTTTTTTTTTGTAAATTTAAATTTGAATAAATAAATATGTTGTACAATGGGCATAAATTTTGTATACAAAGGGAAATATGGGCACCTATCTTCTACTTCAAACAAACAAAAATCACTGAAACGCCTTGTGTTGTCATTGTTATTTGTGTTTTATAAAAAAAAAAAGAAAAAATCGAGATAAAAGTAAGCTATGCTTTATCAAAAAATATTTTATGCATCACATGATTTCATTGTACATGGAACAATTGTTTATACATGGAAATATATAATATTTTAATATTTGTATGGACATTAAACAGCATATTTGAAGTGTGCAAATATGTAACGTTTGAAGGAATTGTGGAATGTAAGTTGCTTCGTAAGAATTCATTTCCATGTGGAATTATATAGCGCAGATAGGATTAATTGCTAATTTTGACAAATTGCAACTGGCTTTTAACCGATTGCTGAACTTGACTAAGGCAGGAATAAAGAAAATATATATATAATATATCAAACGTTGTAACAACACATCAAAGTTTTACTTTACAATGACAATGTCACTTAATATTATCCGAAAAACAACTGTGTCGATTGTGATTATGTTGCAAGTGTATGGTCACCAAGGTGTACTTAATAATAAAGAACTAATCTCTCTTAATTGCTGATATCTTTGATCGATCGTCAAAGTATGCTCTATATATAAAAACTCCTAAGGCAACATGTAACACTACTACTGCAACGCCAGCCGAATACACGTTACTTGGCACATTGTTGAGACCTAATATACCTAAACATAAATTACAAAGACTTTATTAGTTATGCCATCGAAGAAAGCAGAATATTTCAATTGTAAGATAAAGAGTTCTACAAAAGAGATACGCGGAGGAATAAATTTCTTTTCAATAGTTGCGCCAGGAATTGTAAGTTTGTTACAGCATATTCGTATAATTTTTTCTCACGTATATATCTCACATATATATTTCGTACCATCAAAGAGAAAAATTTTGCTTGTGAAGAACGCTATCACAGGTAGCGCGAGTATTACCACACTGTGATAAAAGACTGTTTTGAACGCTTGCAGCTCTGTTACTTCCTAAAACAAGAAAGTAATATATTGAGCTGGTATACTTTCTTTATCAGTATAAATAATTTTATATACGCAGAAATACATATTATTTTAATACCAAACTTACCTTTTGCTCTGACATGATGGCGACTAACGTACGTAGATACGTAGGTAGGTGTATATAGATGAATATCAAGGTTGTGAAATTAGAAAAATTGATATCGACATAAATATCAAATTTATAGAGGCAATAAATTCTGCTGAAATATAGATAAATTTAATATCGATTCTCCGTATATATATATATATCTCGTGTATCGTCCCACGTCCCACCTACTTTGACGTGACGTTGCGAACTTGCGACTGTTGTGCGAGACCGCGATCAACCGGAGCGGAGACCCGGAGTAAAGAGTAACCACGAGAGCGAGGTTATAGGTTATATACGTTTCCAAATAGTACGGGACGTGTTCCACTAGGGACGTTGCGTGTGCCCCGTTTCGTCACGTGCCGAGTTTTCGTATCTGCGAATGATTGTGTGCGCCTGGCTGGAGGAGGCTGGATTAGCCTTTGCCTTTATTTATGGAGTTATGATTGTGTAGTACGTACGTACGTATAGAATTGCTTGCGGCGACCACGACACAGCTGATTCACCCGATTGTTTACCGGAACAAAAAAATGAACGACCGTTATTTGCAATAACGGATGTACGGATGTACCTTGCTGATTGAGAAAGGAAATCACGTTGGATTCCGTTCAAACATGGGATGTTGCTACAGTTTTTGTAAGGAGGACAACGGACCGCAGGTATAAAAAACATACTGAGGATAAATAGCTTCTGTATTTGTCATACCTTATATATATATAATTACTGATAAGGTATATATATATATATATATATATACCTTATCAGTAATTATATGCGCGGCAATCCTCAAGAATTATCGCGGCTAACCCGCCTACTCGGCGACGGTGATTACGCCTCGTAGATATATCGCATATGCGATAATATTTATGTTAGAATGATAAAGAAAGTGACGATTGTAGAAAAAAAATAGCAAAAATGAATTTCGATGAATTGCATATTTTAAATATCTATTACGAATGTTTCTTATTTGCAGAGTGGAGAAGCGAATGAGAGAACACATTTACTGGTAGATCCTGTCAGTAATAATACAAATATCCCGAGAGTACATAGGTAAGTTATTTCACATGTGTTTATCAAACACGTGTCGTCAAGCGTAGATATTTTGGGGAGATATTCAGTTTCAAATATTTTCAACTCACAAATGAGACGAATACAAATCTTTTGGCTTCTCTTTTCCAGCGATGATTATGTTAACCAATATGCAAGTTCTGTGCCTAAGAAGACGGATGAACAAAGCGCATTGAATAGAATTTTACATGAAACTGCGGCGTGAGTGGATTTTATTTTATTTTATTTTATTTTTTTTTTATATTTGACTTAACTTATTGGTCTTTTTATATGATTTAGGGCCGGTGGTTGTTCCAACCTGTTGGTAAACTAACCAATAGTTAAATCAATGCCTATCTTTGTCTAATGTATAAACAAAGACATATATGATCTAACTATTAGCTTACCAACAGGTTGGAAGAACCGGCCTTTAGATTATTAAATTTCTCGAAAGATATAATTTTCTGCAAGAACTTTGGACTCGGGTTTTTTCTAGTTGAATCTTTTTCTTCCAGTAATGTCATAGACGTGGGTGCGTTAGACACGCATAATCTAGAACAGCATGAATACATGGATAGATCTCGGGCGTATTCAAAGAGAATAGAATCAGGTCGAATTAAACTCCCTGAGGCTGCGTCTTGCCTACTTAAAGATATACCAGCTCCAGAACGAATATTAGCGGCCGATCCAGTCGCCGCTGAAGATCAAGAACTGGTAGGTACTCACAAAACTATTTTTCTTCATTTATTGTATTTATTGTTGTGATAGCACTTAATTTGATGGCAATGAAAATTAATACGTGCATTAAATATATAGATTACAGAAATGCTCAACAAGGCTGTGACAGCATTAGGTGATGTAAAAGTTGAACACAAGGAAGATTTGGTGGTGCCGTTTCTATCGTGATCGTTAAATGCCTCTTGAATTAATTTATAATTTCACCTCATTTTTTTAACTGGAACTTTGACATCATACGATATTAAAAGAGGATACATTTGTCGAAAATAAATCGACCCAAGTCCGAATTACAACTCTAGCTTGTGTTAAGACAAAGGGTCGATTTTAATATCTAATATGTAATGTATTATACAGAGTGTTAAATTACTACCGTTGTTTATGCTTGCTATGTACCAATAGCTTCACGATTATTGAATAGATATACATTTTTCTCTCGTATTTTTTATTTCAAGATTTATAATTAAGATGTGCGCCATATAGTCTTTTGCACATTTTATCCATGTAAAATTTTTGTGTAAAATTCACTTGTTATTGTATTGTATCGATAAATACATACATACATATAAGATATCCTGTCACTACCGCATGCGAACACTTGATAGCATGTTTTTGAGTCAATTTTGAATCTATTGCTCTTCTACAAAAAAATATCGGAGAAAATCATTATTTTTTGCGATTTAGCATCTCTTTCACCTTATATATCTTTAACAACATATGATATTAAATCTTAAAATTCTGTGAAAAGAAAATTTACTCAGAACGATTTGATAAATGTACATAATTTTGTTATTTAGTTGCACCCTTAAAGTTAATTTATAAAATGATCTTTCAACCGCTAATTATCCAACTATCAATGTCTGAATGTTTTTCAGAAGAAAAATCGATTCCAAAATGACCAAAGAGTGTGTTAATGCTTATGCAATAACAGCAGGACATTTTGTATATAAATAATAAAAAAGCTATTTTATCATTATATTTAATAAACTCAATCAAATCTTATATGACTATAATTTTCTTGTTATTACAATATTATAAAGAAAAATTTAACTTTATTATCTTCAAAATTTTGAGAGGGAGAGGAAGAGGGGGGAGAGAGAGAGAGGATTTAGAATAACAATGTCAAATTACATGAAGTAATTACATAATATAACTTATAATTATTTATAAGTAGATGAAAAACTGACAAATATTAACTAATGTTAATAATGATTAATTTATGCAATATTGGATGTATAATTAATACAAAATTAGGAAGGAAGAAAAATATTTTTTCTGACATAGACATATACTATTCTTCTCTATTTTTTCAAGCACTTCTGAAACTTAAAAACTGAATTCTATTTGTAGAAGATTTAATATTTTTATACCTAGAGAAAATTTTGTATCTATGCGTGTGTGTTAGTGGGTGCGAAGGTATATACTTTTGAGGCAGGTAAAATTGTATTGTGTCATGTCATTGAAAAAGGTTCGATTGTTAGAATAGCTGAAATAGAAAAGAAGGTCAAACAAGAAGTATATTGTATACATTGTATTCATTGTAAACAGATAATTCTTTGTTTTCTTAATCTCTTAGTTTTACATTATTATATTCTTAAATTCAAATTAAAGTATTCTGTTTTATCTCCACTGAAATTGTTGGATCGTTTTGAGCAATATCGAGAAACGATAAACTTGTACGTTGATTCTACAATGGTATCGTAAAATGGATTTACAAACAACGAGTTTGAAAGAAAGAGAAAGAAAGGAGAGAATATCCCTTTCGTTCTTTAGAAGACGAATTCTTGGAGAGCGAGAGAGCGAGAGAGAGAGAGTGGCAAATTGAGCGTAAAGTGGCAAGTTGAACACTTTGAACAACGCGCGTCAAGGGAGTCAAGGGAGGGGGATGAGACGCGTAACTCGATTGGCGATCCGCGTAGAGGCGCAGAGGGGCATCGACCGATCTCGACCGTCTCGGCGTCGGACTGCCATCGGACTGGCAGTTCGCATCGTTCAGTGCCACCAATACACAAGAGCTGGGGACGCTCTTTCGCCGACCATTGGTCCTCAATTCGCCGACCAATTGGGACAGTGCCCACGAAAATATCCAATGTAAGTTCACAAATTATCAAACATCAGCCCGATACGCGCAGCGCGGTCGCGCGCCCACGTTTGCGATTAACCCCGATTTTGCGGCCGCGGCCGCGGCCGCGTCCCGTGTCTCGTGTCCCGTCGCGCGAGCCAGCGCCTTCACCGACGCCAAAAAAGCCATTGCCGCACGCCACACGGCCATGTTTGCCGAGGCTGAGGCCGCCGAGGCCGAGAGGCCGAGGCGATATCGTGTTCTTCCCACACGCGGATGCTCGCGTCCGCGTCTCATCAGTCTGATGGCGATCGATCAGGTTTCCCGTCACCGGATCACCGCGGTCGAGCGACGTCGCCGACGTCGCGTGCACCTGCGTACGTATCGTGGATCGCGTCGGCTGCCTCGACCGCCCGCATCTCCGCCGAGAAGCGTATGCTGCGAAACGCGCGAAGCGATCCTTCTGGATCCTCGAGGCGCGCATTCCCATCTTCACGCGTCGACGACGCTCGGTACTCGGCACCCTCGGTACGCTCGCGACTCGCGGCCCTCGGGTGCTCCGGTCTCGCCCTCGCCACTTTCGCCTCGTCTCGCCCTCGCCTCGTTCGGCTCGTTCGCGAAACATGGCCTCGAGATCGCGCGTGATCGCACGCGTCGCGTCTTGCGCGCGCGATTGCACATCGCACATCGCACGTGGCGAGACGACAACGACGACTCGACGCGCTCCGCAGTCATCGCTGGTCAACACCACTAATGCTCACGCTCACGTCGCATCGTTTCTGGACTGCTTCGTAATAAATTCCGTGTAGCGTTGACCGAATACCTAGACAATGACGATCTAATATGACCGGTACACACATCCATATCAGTTATATCTAGTTATATCCAGCGTTATTTATTCCAACATATTTTTATTTGCGACTTTATGTCTTGTCTAACGTTATATTTTGTTCAAAGTTTTTTCTTTTATTATTATAGCGAGGATTTACTATGGAGCAGCTTAGCGAAGGACAAGCGGTTGTAGTTGGCGGTACCGGTGGAACTGTTCAAGTTGTTCAGATGAGCCAGGGGGGACAAACCATGATGCTTCCACAGGCGATACAAGTAGCGGCGCCTAATGGACAGATCCAAGTTGTTCCAGTTTCTAGTCTGGCTGGCACTGGCCAACAGATCGTTATTCAGCAACCACAGACCCCACAAATCATTCAAACTCCCGATGGACAAACTTACATCTACCAACCCGTGCAGTTGGAAGGCCAAGTACAGCAAGCGCAACCAACGGGTAAGTGTTGTGAGGTTTATTTATAGGTTTATTTATATGTATCTGTTTCGTGTAGCTTTATCTAATTTTTTTTCTCTCACCCTTTATTTACAGTAATAAACCTTAATGGTAATCTCATGCAAATCGCTGGTACAACGTCACAAACTGCAACGACTGCAGCTACTACGACCCCGGTACAACCTTTGGGCAGTCCTACGTCAACAGTTTCACAAGCCGGGAACGTCGTTATGGTAATAATTTATGGAAAAGTTTTTTTACTTAAAGTCCACTTTTTGTCGAAATTGATCTCCTCATGCTATCTTGTGGCATTTTCAATAAACTTTCGTAATTCTTATCCGTTTTGATCAAGAACAGTTACAATTTATTGAAAATAAGACCGAAAGATGTATCGTGCTAGGGAAAAACGATCACAATCCACGCGCTTGTAGAGAAGAATTATCAAAATCCAACATACACTGTAAACACCAAGTAAACACTGTATTCCGATATTCATGCCAGTACTTTATTAATAGCTTCCTAAGGCTGCGGTCAAAGTGACACTACAAATGTTTTGAAGCGTTCTTCTTCTCCTTCTTTCTTTATTGAAAGAAAAGAGAAGAGGAATGCCTCGAAGCATTTGTAGCGTCATGTTGACTGTAGCCTATGATATCTGATGTCCTGAAACTTGAAATTTTTCCCACATTTTTTCAAAATTACTCCAGATGGATATATATATATATATATATATAAATGGTACAGGGGAAAAACGATCAATGTCCATCTGGAGTAATTTCGAAAAAATGTAAGAAAAATTTTACACACGCATACATTGTCTATTGTGTTCCTATTTACTGATTAACATATAAACTTTCTGAGAATTAGGAATAATTAATGCTTCATTGCCACAATTATTAATTAACCATGTCTCATATTTTGTAATTAGATGGTGCCAGGTAATAGCGGACAAACACAGTTCCAAAGAGTAGCGTTACCTAATGCTGAGCTTCTGGAAGAAGAACCACTCTATGTCAACGCAAAACAGTATAGACGGATATTGAAGCGTCGTCAAGCCCGTGCTAAATTGGAAGCTGAAGGGAAGATACCCAAGGAAAGGCCAGTAAGTATCATTCAATTTTTACACGTGTTTCTTTTTTAATAAATATTTGAAATTAAGATTTTTATGTTTACTTAAATATTAGTTTTGCATAGAATTTAAAATTATATTACCTATATTTATATTTTACATTACATACTGTAATATCTATTTGTGCAATATTTGGATTACAAAGACGAAAGTAACGGAAGATTTAATTTTACAGAAATATCTCCACGAATCTCGTCATCGACACGCGATGAACAGAATTCGTGGTGAGGGCGGCCGTTTCCATTCAGGTCAAGTGAAAAAACGAAAGTAAGTGTTAATTTGTATTTTCCTAATACAAGTTTCTCTTGTAAAAGAATAAAAAAACGGTGTCTCATCTTGGTAATTTTACGCATATAAGAGTGTAATGGTTCCAGTAGAGAAAATGCAAACTCCACGATTACCCAGCACATCACAACCTCAACCAGCACCGATAATGTTCATACTGTAGCAATAGCAGCTGCAAATGTAGGTGTACAATATCACGACACAGACAATATGGCATCCACGATTGTACTTGAAGTAAGATAATAGTTTCTATTCTCTAATCGAAGTCGCTTGTGATTTCGCAGAGGTGCGAATTACATTTGCCGTTTCTAATTGTTTGTTGCAGAAGCCAAATATTCCTCTGCGAGATATGATCTCTGATGACGACATTGTTACCTCGAACAGTCATTTGATATAGATATAATATTATAAGTTGGATTAAAAAGGGAATGATTGAACAAGGATGAGACTTTTTTATGTGTCGATGATTATATTGAACATCTGCATTTTGTAAATATTCCGGTGCGATGTATAAGTATAATTTTTACAAAGAGCTGCATAATTTTTAAATATCGTGAAACTGTACATAAAGTGTTCCAGATATACTATTTACTTTAGATTCTTCGGTGGATTTAGATATTTTCCAATAATCAAACATTGTATTGATAAACCAAATTCTGAGAAGCAAAAATAGACGATTAAAATATTCTTATCACGTAATATTAAATACTATGTATATAAATATATTACAAACTATTGTATTAAATATATTACAATATGTCTACACTTTTGTCTTGCACTTCAACAATTTAAAATCTAAGGTCTATTTGAAATCAACTGCAGAATATGAAGAATGATCTAATAACATGTAATATAACATACGTTTAAAAATATATAGTGTTATTGGAAATAAATAAACGTTCAACATTTCTATTAAAGAATGGAAAATGAAATTAATTGCTAAATTAGCAAAAAATGTTTATTCTATCGTTCTGAAGCACTTTGTGTAGATACACACACGCACGTACGCGCGCGCGCGCACACACAATCTGGCAGCTTTTACATTTGTGTGATAATTTTACTCAAAGATATTACACAGTTTTTTTATATGTGCGAATTAAATATATGAAAAATTAAGTTAATCTTCATGTTTTCAGAAAATAAGCTATAAATTAGTATTAGAATATATTAGATATAACGTATAATTCTCTGTGTGAATGTATGGATTCTCTCTTTATCGAATTTGATGAAGTCTGAATCTGAATATAGCCATCAATATTGTGAGAGACTGAATGAAATCATAAATTGTATATATTATTATGTGCTGGGTATTTTTTTAGATTTGATTAAGATGTTTCTTTTTCTCTTTACATACATATATAATTGAACGCCGTGAGTCAACAATAACTTTCCATCATATGTTTACTTGTAACCGACTGAATTATCAGATTTCTCGAGAAATACTCACCCAAATTAGAAAAACAAGACAGAGTTATAAAGAGAATTAAAAGACTTATAAAATGATGTGTTATTTGATTTTGGAAAAACAGTGGAAAATTTTTGTTGGCTTATTCTGTGTATATGCATATACATTTAAATATATATAAAATTTGTGTTTAGATATCTATCTACATACACGCCCGCTCTTACACAAAATTATAAATATATATATATATATATATACAATTTGTGTTACAATTAAAAGATATGAAAAGTGTAATTTTGTGTAACGCTGTATATTTATCTATATATAATTTTTTATGGCAGATATACTGTTATTTAATCAAACTTGATTTTTCAATAGTAGATAATTATTAAAATTATTAAAATCCGAGATATTTGTGCACTTAGTAAATACGTATATATTTCTAATTCGGAGATGTTGATTCTACAGTATTTGGCGGTTCTCAAACAACGCAATATTTTAAAACATATACAAGATTATTATTTGTATAATTTTATTCATTTGCTTGTATTTTAAATTAAAAATTTCAAGCTAAACTTTAATTCTTTATTATCTAGTATAAATTTCAGATGTCTTTATTATCACCTCTTATTATTGTTTCGTGTTTCTCTTTATTTGTCAATCTCAAATATATATTATAAGGAGTATTCTGGTTTAAAAGGCCGTAAGAAAAGGTATTTTTCGGGAATTTTTTGTGGGGAAAAAAAGCAAATAACGTTAAACTTTGCATGTTCTTTTAGCGTTATTTTAAGAATATATTTTTATTTTTTAAGTAACAAAAACGCTTTTCTTTTTTATGTTATATCATAGTCACATAGGATCTTGCAAAAAGAAACCGTATATGGCCGGTATAAATAATTCTAGTTGTTTTAGGTATCTGAAAAACTCGCAAAAACAAAAAATTTTTATTATTTAGGAGAAGTCTTTTATGACCTTTCAAACCTCCTTAAGAATACCTCCTTAATCCATGATAATTAAATATACAAATTTTAAATGCACAAGAGACAATTTATACATCAGATGATTGAACTAGTGAAGAATTACTAGAGGAACTATCACTAAAATCAACTAAGCAAAAAGGTTATTAATATGTTTGCTAATGATATTTGTGGCATATCAGTGAACTTGAAAATATTCAGTGGGCGAATCTGTTACCCAGATAGCCAAATGCTGTGAGTTTGCTGCCATGTTCCCAACAAGCAGTTTGTCGTTAACAGTAGGCAACTAATTTTGACAAACTCGGGACAAGATGAGACAGCATTATGCTTATCTGGTTGAACTCATGTGAATTATATTTCTATTAACAGCAAATTGATTGCAACGTGCCAGCATCAATTTGTGAGGGATTTGTGACAATTTCATATTGTCAACACTTCGTTAGCAACGAGATATAATTAAAAAACTTCATAGCTTGATGACATACACAATAACGGATGGAAATCATTATATATGTGTTGTTGCTGTCATGTTTGCATCATGATGCTTAAGATGGAACGATGAATCGTTCATTGCTGTCATGTTGCTGACATATTGCAGACAACATAACGTACTGATATTGTGGACCGTTTGCTTTTGAAATTGTCAGCAAATTTACAGCAAATATATGAATATATGAAAACACATGCAATGCATTAGCTCAATATGCTCTATCACGCTTGGCTATCTGGGTATATCGAGTATTTATATTTGATATAGCATGCTTGTGTATTGGTATGAATGTGTGATATGTATAGTTATAGATATATGTATAAGTGATTTATCAAGTAATTAATTGATTTATCCCGAAAACATGGGATAGAAGTTGAAAATGTAATTATTATATATATGAACATAATATGAATTCTGTTTTCTAACAACTTGCATATTATTATTTTACTTTATTTGTTATTTTTGTTACTTTGCATGTAATCTTCCCTGCCCTTCCCCGCTTTCCAACGCGAATCTTATATCTTTTATTTATAAAATTCAGAATAATTTAGAATATTTTCGTAGAGAAAGGTAAATTTTGTTATAGTGTTAGCGAACATTCTGACTCGAGATATTTTATAGGACTCCTTAAAGAGTTTTGCAATGCAATGTGGTCCTTCATATCTGACGGGCTTCGTAGTTTAATCCTTTCCCCAACAATTCCGATTGTGCCAGTATATTCGGAAGTTCCAGTTCTATATAGAAAATTAGTAAACAGTATTTTGAAATCTGAAATTGTCTCAAATTAATATGAATATTGGTGCGTATTTTACGTACGTCACACGAAGAGTTTTTCTTTCTTTAAGATTAGGATCCAAATTGTTGCACGGTTTAAAAATTTTCGACGGTTTTATCAATTCTCTCGGTGCGATTACCCATGGATTTCGATACGCACGTCTTTGAATTGTCTCGGGTATAATCCAGCTTTGCGGCAACGTTATTTCCTTATGATGATGATCTGATTACGATCAAAAGTACTCATTTGTGATACAATGATAGTGTGATATTAAATAAGTAAACAGAATTAAACGGTACTGTGCGTGTGTGTGTGTTCATATAATGTTCTATGTTTCTAAAGATATAAATATTATTAGCATTGGAAATTTTCTGTGCTAATAATATTTATATCTTTAGAGAGACATAGGACATTATATGAGCAACACTGTTTAGTTTTGTTTAGTTATTTAATATCACAATATCACGGCATTACAAATAAATAAATAAATAAATACACAAACACACACACACATGTAATGATATAATTATTACACAAGTAACGAACCCTTTTCAAATTCCTTCAAATAATCCAGTTGATATATGGTCTTCATTGATTTTTTCTTCTCGCGATCTATCACGTTTTCATCTGGCACGATTTCCGGTAGAGCATTTGTTAAGTGGGGAAATTTGTCGCGTATCTGTATTTTCGATGACGTACAATTACAATAATACACAATCACGATTATAAAAAGATTTATATTTTTACTCTATTTAAATTGTCCACTGGATCTTCGCTTCGTTCGTTCTCAGGTAATAATCGATTTTCCAATCGCGTGTTCAAATATTCTTTGTACGGTCTATTCAAGATGTTCAAGGATGATAAATATTTTGATAATAACTTGTACTTGTTAGCTCTCTTATCTTTCTTTCCGAGATAATCTTTCTTGTAGATCGTTGTAAAATCTCGTAAGTCCTCAATATCATCGATCACTTCCATCGCGTTAATTCGAGCAATTTGTTTTATAGAGAGATTTGGCAGATAATTTACTTTGTAGAGAAATTTATAAATGTTACCAGCGGAATTATATATTGGGTATTCAGCAAAGATAATGGTTGTGCAAATACTAGTAGCAATTTAACGTGTTTGGTTATTAGTATAAGATTCAACAAATGAGCTTCAAGTGTCAGAAAATAACAACGTTTAAATTATTTTGCTGAATGTGTCTATCCGCTGCAACGATATATTACATCGTGATGATATTTCTATTTGTTTTGTTAAAATGCCATTTTTTTCGACGTAAATATAAAAAGATTTATGATGAGAAAAAAATAGGATCAACTTTCTTTTTTATTTTACATTAAATAACAATAAGTTTCAAAGATGCCTTCAAGATCTTATTAAAGACCGTTTTAAAAAAAGACTTCTTGAAAAGAGATATAGGTATGTGTGTCATCTGAAAATTACTTTTTATAAGATATTTTTTGTAATATGTAAATTGTAATATGTAATATGTAAAAATTATTTACATTATTTATTTTATTATTATCGACTATAAAATTGATTAAAATATGTGACATGAAGTAAATTACTGTAACATCTGGTCTATAGAAATATTTGCTCAAAATTTTGGCACAATGATATTTTGGCCAAGTATTTTAGAAATGCATTAGCAAAAAGAACACAAAACAAGAGCTAGAATCAATTATACTTGATAAAATCGTTTATTATTAATGATGTAACATTTATATGTACTTTGTTAATGATAAAAATTAATTTCTATTTATAATAATATCTTGTAAATTGTAATCTATTATGCAACATTGTAATTATATTTATATCTTGCTTATAAATGTAAACGGGCGGAAGATAATAAAGTTCGGATTTTTAAAATTGAAATATTTGGCATTATTGGTAATATTATTGGTATATATGTACATTTATACATGCCATGGTTTGCTTTATCTTGTTTTTAATCATATTCTAATGCTTCGTCGATTTTCAAGAGTTTTACATTTCTGCGGTTCAAATCTCGAATTTAAAATCTTAGAAATGCTCGGAATCGCATTTTTTTAAATTCTCGGGAAACTTTTGAGATTTTAGATATCTAATAGATAACCTCTTCAAAACCCCTAATTAGATTCTGATATTAAGTCGCTTTTCGAGACTTTTTAATGTTCGTAATTTAAAATCCCACTTTATCTTGCTTCTTACTCTTACTATTTCCTAAATCCAAGATTACCGTTAAACAGGTCCCGTGAGGTACATTTGAAACCGACAATTTATAATTTATATTTGAAAAATTGAAATAAGTACACATTTATCCACATTTTTCATCTTTTTGCGGATACTTAACGGATTCGTACAAGTAAATATTTTTACAAGAGTTTATAATACACATTCTCTGTTTTTAAGTGAAATTCGAAGCCATTACGATAGTGATAGTTAAACGGATCATTAATTAAAATTCGTTAATTCTATCAAAATATAAATTGATTTTGATCAATTAAGCTCATTGTATTCACTATACAGGTATACTAATCGTCTTGTGACATAATAAGGCTTAAGACCATCTCCGTAGTTTATATATGTCTATATAACGAAGTCTCCGTAGTCTCCGAGGTGTCCGATAACTCATTATATGGATGATATAATATATATCAGCTGATAGATGGTACCCTTGTGTACTATAAACGCCAATTAGGGTACAACGTCAGATTTCTTGCTTATCGCCTCGACACGAAACGTGCCTTTTTACTTCTTCGATCCCTATATATGCTCGTTTATTTCGCAGGAAAAAGTGAACAGACCTTTTTGGAACAAGTATCCACGTCATTATCGGAAATTTTGTAGGTTGGTGTATCTCATTCGTCGCGTGATATATCCTCGCTTTTCATGTTGCTATCATTATCCTTAAATCAGCGTCGAATATCTCTCGTATTTGATCTTCCATATCTTGTTTAAGGGAACAACGAGAAGTAAAGAAATCTCGATATTATATAAAATAAAATAAAAATTAATAAAATATTACTTCTGTTTTTATGTTATTTTCTTCTTACTTAATTTATTTAACAATTTAAAAAAAAAATTTTTTTTATTTAACAAAGACCGAATTTTCCTTTTTTTATTTTATTTCTCTTTTTACAACAATATGCGCTAATAAAAATACTATTAAAAAAATGTAACTTTTTATAGATAGAAAGGAAAGTAGAAAAGTATCGTTTAATAAATTTTGCAATATTTCTTGAAGAGAGAGAGAGAAATTGCATGATATAGTATTGCTCTTAATTCATTTTCAATGTCAGAATTTTTATTTCTAACAATAAGGTTACAATTACGATTCTGATATTGGATATGTATTATTCAACGATTGCTGGTAAAATTAGATAAATCTTTATGTAGAAAAATATCCAGTCTGCCTCTGTAAGAAAGATCGTATCGATAACTAAATATATAAAATTGTTTCTACCGCAACGCGAATGTAGATCATAAGAATTTTAACGCAGAAGATTGAACTATTTTTCACTAGAAAACGCAACATATATATTACATAAGACAACTTTGATTTAGTAATTGGAATATATAATGGCAAATTTACGGTATCCTCGTAATACAATTGCGACTATATTATACATATATATATTATTTATATATAGCTAGTGAGAAAAAGAAAAAGCAAACGCGGAAATATAAATGTAGATTATATGGGAGATAAATGCAATTTATTCAATAATCCGAATAGGATGAAGGAATATATCATATCATATTCTTGTAAGCGCAATCGTTCTATTGAAGGTCTTCCCTTTTTCAGCCAAAGCTGCCCACTGCTGGCATGGCAATTTACAGCTTCTATCTCAGCATTATACCTTCGGTTGTTCTATACCACGCATGACGGCAACCCTCTATTCTCGAAAGGAGAAAGTCACCCTATTCATCCGTAAATTACCTATTTTCGACTCGCTTTTTTATGCACGGAACTTTTTCTTCGTTAATATATACATGTCAGCATTACAATTAAGAATTGATATATTTCTTTATCACTTATTCATTCGTAAAGAACTTTTATTGTAATTTCATTAAATAAATACGTAAAACTTTTATTAGGGCAATTAAATTATAAATGAAAAAAATATATATATATACGTATGTATGCAGGAAGACACGCTAACAATATGAATGCTTTTAGCTAAATTTATTTTAACGTTGTAAATAATATTGAGAATATTTCTAATATTAGAGAGAAGTATATAAGTATATGTATATGTGTATATCTCAGAGCGTGTTCTCTTAGCTTTTCAACACTTGTATAGTAAGCTAGATTGTTCTTAAGTAAATGTCGCAAGCAAATGTTCCCAGTTGACGCGAAGGCGTTTATGGCTACGTAATCAAAGTCTGGTTCTGAATAATGGATATTGTTGAAAGCAACTATTTCGTTATATTTTCTATGCCTGATTTAAGTGACAACTTTGCAACTGCGTAACATCGCAAACTTCAAGTTCCTGAATGCAATTCAGGAACTTAATAATGAAGGCGAATTGTCGACGAGCAGGCTTTCAAGTTACATCGGTGTTGCATATGTAAAAGAGAAGAGTGCATATTCTTTATATTCTTTTAATCTTCCAAAAAGACATAAAGATATGAAATGGGGTGGAAACTATTAGAAACATATTAAAGCACGAGTTTAACTTTTATGAAAGAAAATACAAACTATAGAAATAAACGTAATACAATATAGTTTACGTGCTTCTTTATTAAAATGTAAATAAAATAAACGTGTGAAAACAAGAATGTAATACATTTATTAGATTTAATAACAAATATTTAGGCGTCTCTTATTTTTTTTTTTTTTTTTTTACTATAATTTATTAATTATTCTATCTATTAATTTTTATGTTTATATTTTGGCATTTTCACGTCGCATACATGTCATCAAGTTATTCTTTTTTTCTTCGCAAAAACTATTTGTACATAGTGCACATATACAAGCTCGAATCTCGAATAAAGTCGTTTATCATCCATCGTCTTTCAACCATCATGCATTTACGTGTAGAGGTCGTAGAGCAGTTCTGTTCAGGCTTTCACGAGGTTGTCGCGTATCACAGCTTTCGGGCGAGTTTGTCGCAGCGTTTCTTGTCCGTTACAGCTGCAGTCGACGTTTATTCAAAACTGCTTCGCATGAATAAAGTAAATTGCGCATTTTAAAGATTCGGAGGTCGAAATCAAAGTCAAAGAATACAGAGAAAAACAGAGAGAGCGAGAGAGCGAGAGAGAGAGAGAAGGGGGGAAGGAGAGGAGAAGAGAGAGTCTAAAATCTACTAGTTGCTTCGCACAACCAGTTGCTTCTATCTAACAATGAGAGTGTGAGTTTGTCGAGACAAAAGTGCGAGCAAGCGGTAGCCGAAAATGATCGTATTCCTCTGTCCGCTCGATGGGGATGTTTCCGCAGCGTACACAATCAAACGGCGCGCATTTGAGCGCGCCTGGTCCGATCCAGAAGTCCAAGCTCCGCTTCTACATATCCTCGTGGGGGCGCATCGCCACGCCTCCCGCGTCTATATAAGCGCCATGATCGCGGTGGAACCCTCACTCGCACCCCAGTACTCGGTGGTGAGCCCGAGGGTGAGATTCCTTCCCGAACGAAGGACGAGCGGGAGCTGCGGCACAGAGGGAGAGAGACTTTGCGTTTCATCTCTACCGAATTTTTCGTGAACGCAAACTGTGAGCCGAGCGGGCGCAGGTCGTGAGACATGAGGTCTTCGTTGCTATGGTTGTCTCTTCTGTTGGTCGTCCTGGCCGCTAGGAGCTTCGCCAATCCTTACTTCGACGATGCTGGTGAGTCATAGTCTGATCCTGTTTTGCGCGTTAATAGAGAGCTGGAACATAACATAAAAGCTCGGTAAACATCTGCTGGAGCATGTTGGATGGAGAAAACGTTGCAAAAATTTAAGACATCTCTCGGATATATTTACGATGGCTTTGAATGTTTGCATTTGTCTAGGTCACTGTCGCTCATATATAGATTCGAATTATATAATTTCCACGTGCGCGAGAGTGAATAATAATTTATACATTTATGAGCATCAATTATGATGCAGATAATTAATTTAATCTCCATTTAGATAGCGCAATTGGTATTTGCATCGCGTGGTTTACATGAAGAAAGTAAAAAGAGATATATTATTATTTTAAAACCAAAATGTCGAACATTTTTTTAAATTAAATTAATTATCTGTTTACTGTTGATTTTGATATAACCAGCTGAGGGAAAAAGTTTTTGAATATCTTTATAATTACAAAAGAGTGTTACCCTTTTAGTATTTTTTTGCGACCATTAAGATTTTTTAGCCCCAGGCTAGGCGTGACATTTATTTTTTTTGTATGAAATATGTTTTTGATAGAAATCCTCTTTTATTTTTTTAATACCGTTGCCATTGTTTATCGTGCAATAAAAATAATGTCGTATAATTGCCGAGAATAAATATATACATTGAGGCCAAACAAATTTTTACAATATATTTTTTCCGTGCGTCAACTAAAGTATTAATTATCACAGATACTTTAGTTGACGCACGGAAAAAAAGAATTAGCTACTATATAGCAAATTTAGGGATAACTAAAATTTTTTGCAGCAAGAGTTATAATTTAGCAATAGTAGCAAAACTTTTGTTAAAGTTTGCTACTATTTATCCCTATTTTACAATTAAAGCTGTTCCGGGATGAATGTTAAGCGTTATCATTATATATTATTTAGAGTTAAGGTAAAGTGAAAGACTCGGAAAGTCCCCGCGCTCGGCACAATAAACCGCGAGGATCATGCAAGGATCACGTGGAACTTGACGGAAAACAGAATGATCGACGCGAATACGAGAATCCGGTGTTCGAGCTCACGCATACCGACGGCCCAGTCAGCATTCGGAGCGCTTTCCAAATACACGTATCGAAAATCGGAGCACGCGTCGAGATTGCTCGAAACTTCTAGAAAATAAAATCATCGGGAGTGTTCGTGTCCGATCTCCTTGCGCTTCCAGCCGAGGACTCTCCTTCTTGTATCGCGATCCGGTCGCTGCACTTCCGTTTCGCGGCAAGATATCCGACGATTTCAGAGTCCGAGCCGGACTCTTCCCGAAGATCTTCGCCCTCGCGCTGTGCAGCAGCGAGAGACCACAATCAAGATTTCCGTGCGTTTTCGCTCCCTTATACGCGTCCTTTCTCGACATCGCCCAACTCGATTATATTATCAAATAAAGACTTTCGCACTGAAAGTTTCACCGATCACTTTCTTTCATTTATAAGACCCGGCCTCCTCCATTCTCGGTTCTTTCTACAAGAACGTATCAGTTTCCGTACGGAGTTGCTCTATCCTGCAAAACGAAACTGTGTACTCCGAAACAAAAGCTAATCCTTTTTTTCCGTGCACAAATTGCTATGTTACACATTAATTATGTTCTTTACAAAAGTCTATAAAATATTTGGAAATATATTTACGTGTCAATTATTCTTAAATATAAATTTTGACACTAAAATTATAATATAAATATTATGTGCGCAAATAAAGTTTTCTAGTTAAAATGTGAATGTGTCTCATACAGAAAGTTGTATTGAAATAAATCTCTGTTTTGCTAGAACTGAGACTGCTGGAAAATCTCGTTAAACCGAGTTGATAGGGGTTTACCAGGTTTACCTTGTTTGGATCTCTTTTTTGAAATTAACCTTTTTGAATTATATCGAACAGAGAGAGTTATCGATAGTTTTTCGAAAATACACAAACTTCTTAAAAGTTGTTTCAACATTACAAACTTTTTGATTGGATTTTAATTTATTTAACGTTTCGGAATTAATCAAAGAGACTTTGACAATAAGTATTAAAACTTGCAAACTGTAATAGAATACTTTGCTCGCCAGCTTTACAATATATTGGAACTCGTTGAAACTTTTAATATCGACGGATAATACTCGCTTTCTTTACGATCCTATAATTTACTGAAAATCTTGCGTTTATTACCGTACAAATTTATAATAGTTAATATCATATTAATATTAGAGATCGCGCATGTAGCTAAATACAGTTTACACAAATATTTTCTTTAAATATGTTTGTAAATTTATTAAGTCATATAAAAAAAAAAAAACTTAAGACAAGAATGAAGCAAACCGAAATATTTTTATAGAAGAGCTTGACTTGAGAACTGGCTGAATTCGTATAATCATATCATACCAAGTGTCAATGGTCATCGGATCGCGCGTGCAGATAGTGCAAGTGGAATAGGTTTATGCGTGGTCAGACGCGCACCGATTGAATTTTGTGGCGTGCGTTAAAGTTGCTAAATTTAACTAGACGGTTTCCACTTAAAATCTCATTTATAAAACCAACATGTGTGATGTACAATACGTGTACAATGAAAAATATTTGCATAATCGAAATTACATTCGCTTATAATTATCATCCGAAAATATTGTAAATTGCTGCATTGATATAGTGGTAACGTGGAATGTAGAAATAAAACAGGTAAATTTATTTTTGGTTTGATATTAATATTATTTCGTTTAGTCATTTTAGGAAATTTATTTTATAAGCTGAATTTTAAAAAGAAAATCAAATTTGTGTGTGAACACACAAGTATGGATATATAAATCTATGATACTTATTTTTAAAGAGTTAGCCTCTAATAGTTCAGTGCATTGAAAATGATTTAAGTTGATTATAGATCTATATTTAACATGTTCATGGCTTTGGTCGAGCTTTTATTTTTTCAACAATTTTTACGATGACTGCACCGATTTCTATCGTGATAATTGCAATCAGCCAGAATAAATCATTTCAAATATGGAAAAATCTTGATGACTATGTAACAATTGCCAGTGCTAATGAAACCGTAATCTGTTTCCGGTGGGATATTGGTTTCAGAGATTTAATTACGTCTGCGTTTGATTGATTATCGGGGCTTCCTTTGAAGACGTTGCAATTGTTCATCGATTTCTCGATATCTCGTTAGGACTTAGGTAATCGCTAACGCTAAGTTATTCCTTCGTTTTTTTATTTGTTACATCAGCCACATTCTCGTTTATTTTAATAAATTATCTAATAGTTTATTTAATAAATTGTTTTGCGTTAACTTATCAATTTCATACTGAAATCAAACATGGTGATATTGTTCCAAATCTTGAGCTTTACGCATTTTATGTATCAAGATCAACAGATGTGGATGCCGTAATGGTGTATGGTATAATGACTGGATTATCGTGTTCCGCGAAGTAAATTATACGAGATATATGTTTCTTTTCGATAATAAAGATACGATCTTACTTTACGAACAATGAAATGGAATTTATTCTACTATTTTATTCTATTTATTCTCTCTCTTTTTCTCTCTGTCCGACTAGACACTGTTAAAAAGACAACTTTTCGTCGTTCAATAATTTCGCGATTTATTTACATTGAAACGTTAGCTTTCTCGAAGCATTCACATAAAGATGATTGAAATAAAATAGAATGATGTCGAGAAAAGGAAAGGAGAAAGTCAAATAAGGGTGTGGTTCTTAGATTAGTAATTTGAGCTTAGGAGTTGCCGTAATTGACGAAAGAGAAAAGGAGAAAACGGAGAAAGAAAAATAATGGATCGTCATTAATTCGTTTTCCGCGAGATTTGGTAGAAACACTCTCATCTAAATTATCTTATAATTATAATGTCTAATTTTGTAAATAATTATTTATAATTTTTCGCTTAACTTTTTCCATCTTTTTCTGTTGTCGCGCAGAAATTGTGCGATTTAATAATGTAACCATAATTTAATCATTCCATTGCATTCTCAATTTTATTGAGTCGCGAATTTAAAATATGTCATAGAAAATAAATAATATTTGAGGCATTCCTAAAAAATATTATTGCAGAGATAAAAATTGCGAGGGACAAATGCTGCAAAAATAAATTAATATTTATAAAAAACAAGAATAAGTATTATATATATTTAAATTTAAATTTGTTTTACACACACACATATATATATATATATATATATATATATATATATATATAATTTCTATTTATTTTTGGTCTTTCTTGTTTTTTATTATCTAATATATAATTTTTAAATCTTTTTTTTAGTGAATAAAATATTAGGTTGGGATTGCATCACATATGCAGTGATTAAATAATACGAATATTTCGCTTTATTTAATCTGCAAACAATGGAAATAATATACGTTTTCCAGAAAGAAAAGGAACCATATTTCGTTCTATTTGCTTTAATATAACGTGCCCTTTTACCTTCACGCCGCAGGAAGGATTTCCTTGTGTAAGAGTTTTAGAAACACATAATGAGATTTGCCGTAATAATCTTAATGGACTACTATAATTTTCCTTTATGCAAGGTTGCGCCATAGCAAAAACAAAGATGTGCGATAATGAAAACGGATCGATGAAAATTTTAAGTACCTATAACTTTTTACTTGTGATATATTTTGCAATTAGTTAAATGTTAAATATTTTAATGAAATTTTGTGAGTTTTATTAAAAGTGTGTAAGTTATACATAATATATAAAAGATATAAAAAGTTGTATCTTTTCTCAATTACATATTTTTCAACATACTTTTCTACTGCTGGGTGAAATGTCTTCTAAATTTGTAAATAAATTTGCGTTAATTTTTTTTTTTAATATAAGATGGCTATGTACAGTTTAGTACTTTCTGCTTGTTTCGATTTATAAAATCTGTTTACAATTTTGTTTAATATTTCTGGCGAATATTCTGTTTGATAAAATTTATTTTTGCCAAAAGACGGAAATATTTGCTCTAGTAGTCGCGTATCGAGTCAAAGAAATGTATCAAGATCGAATTTGCTGAATGTCTTCGTTGATATTGCCTTATAAAATATATAGAACGATATACGATATATAGAATACTTTTCTGGTTTTACTTTCTCCTCATCTCTCCACTGAGATGTGTTCTTTAAGTCCTCGGATTGTGAGTCGTATGCGTCCTTGATCTATGCTTGTATATAATGATTATTGATACGTGATACAAGTCTTGTTTTCTACTTGCGAAGAATACTTATATCTTTTGGTAATATTAATCCATGAAATAATACGTACTGATATGATAAAATTATATAATTAAGTCTATTTCTCTTAATTTAAAATACAACTAATCTATTAAGATATATTGTAGATTATATTAAAACGTAGATTATATTAATCATTTATTTTACGTTTGCAGAAGATGCAGATGATCTTCAAGGTGGCGATACCTCGGATTATACGGACAACGCTTTGGAAAATCTGATACGAGTTGCACAAAAGTGAGTAGATTATCTTACTAGTCAGTTCCGGTTTCATTTTCCTACGATCTTCCTCTCTCGACATTTCTCCCGAGATCTCTAAAACATGTTTTCCCTCTTCCCGTATTCTTTTTGACTGATTGTTGAAGAAATTGTATACATTTTATGGATGCCGAAAAAATTAGGAATATTTCCTTTCTAATAACACATTGTTGTTAAAATTAATTGTTGATGTATATATATATGTATGTATGCACGTATATGCGTGTGTGCGTGTGCGAGTGCGTGCGCATGTGTGTGAGTGTGCGTAGCACCTTATTATATATGTATATTATGCATATGTGCACGCGTTATAAATTAAAACATTTAAAAGACACAGGTTTCAAAAAATCTTTTATTTTTGCAATTCTAAGAAAAAGTTATTCTTCTAGCAATCATATAATCCGTTTATTGATACGTATACGCGTATATGCGTGCATGGATGCGTGAGACATAGAAGAGACCGGGGCTAAATGGTTCCAGGAGTATGTTGCTCATGTGCTTTTTTTCAGTACTTATCTTCAGAGGAACAGTGGATACAAAATTACGAAATAATTCTTTTAGAATATAGATACTTTCCCCTGAGTTTCATTAATCGAAATAATATTACAGTTAAAAAGAAGAAAAACTGATTTAGTAGTAGCAAAGTAAATTTTCGAGTCTCTCAAAATTTTGTATTAATATTCTTCATCGTGAGTGAACAAAAGTTAAGCGACGTGTTACTAGCTGGTAATAAAGTTTCTTGCAATATATCTTGTATTATATATCGTTTCGAGTAATAAATGCAGTTTTCATTTATAAAACGACTGAAATAGAGCATATGAACGATCAGGATAAGGTTGGCCCATAATTAAAGCTAGCGCCGTGGCAGTCAGATACACAGTTAGTACTTAGTACAGTCTGTCATAGTTCTAACATGAGTTGATAGCCGGACATATTTGAAGAAAACGCAATGGAAGTGTCATAACATTCTCTTTCCACTAATTAAACCTTTTCTGTACTAATCGTATGATTCGTTAAAAATGTATACGTAAACTTGATGCCGCAAATATGAAGGTAACGAAAAAGATGATAAGACTTGTATCAAGTAGCAAATATATATATTATAAATATATACATATTTGTTACCCTATACGCTACTGGGCAACTTAATCCCGGCCTTAAACCAGGGCAAGATGACCACGTTGCTGCATGTTTGTATTTTAGTTATTACAAAACAAAATATACGATTAACAGGATCATGACGGGCATTAGCATACAGGAGGAAGGTTGCCTCTGTCAGATTTGTACTGGCAATCATAGCAATTAGTTGTCTGAGAAGTTATAACTTGGAAATTCTGAAATATGGGCCATTTAGCCCCGGTCTCCTCTACCCCAAATCGATATTGCGATCTTTTTAGCCCCTTCCTTTCGTCTTGATGTTTCAATGTTGTGAAAAAGCGTTCTCTCGATTTCCCTAATCTCGAGTAGACGTGCCTCGTCGATAAACTTGTTTAGGCGGGCTTGCATAAGGCGTGGCGGCGATTGTTATCACCGACGGAAGGACTGCTGCAACAGCTCTAGCTGCCGCTGCAATCTCTGGGGTTCTAATTGCCAATGTCAACGGATGGGTCTCTTTCAAAAGTGGGGCTAAACGATATCCTCCCTCTCCTCTTGCCCTAAATCTTCCTATACTTATGCGTCTTATTTCCTATACGTTTTTTTCTTCTTTTTCTTTTTACTATCCTCCCTCTTCTCCCTTCCCCTCTCTCTCCCCTTCCCCTTCTCTCGCAATCATCTCACTTCTTTGAAAGACTGTACTGACTTCCAACGACGGACTATATCCCTGACTGTATTCCCCCCTCGAGCACATTCGGACGTTCTTCGTTCCTCCCGTAAAATTTAACCTACTCGATGTATCTGGTCCCGTGGGGACGACCCTAATATTTCTTCAAGTCTTGCGATTTATCTTTTTGATTAAAACAAAGGCCTCAATGATACGCGTTGACATCTTTTTTTTTTTCGTGTGTTTCTTAGATCTTTTTAATAGAGAGCGAGAGACAGAAAGAGAAATAGAGAAAGAAATGAGTGATTTTTTTGACATCATGCTTGTGATATCATGATTGGCAATAGCTTGCAAAATGTTATACGCTCTCGGAAACTGTTTACATTCTTCTACGATATCCATAAGTCCAGTCTCTCAATACAACTTTTTATGACTACCTCTTTCGCGATATTCAATGCTCGGGATCAACTGCGTTGACTAATCGATGTGCTTTAACGATCCCCTGTTTCTTTCTAGATCGTAACTCTGATTATAATGTAGGTAATGCAAAAAGAAAAAAATAATTAATTTGCAATGGTCAACTTTAGTGCAATCGATTCTTATCGAGATTCTTATCAAAAATCACATCTACGTACGTGCGCATATGTGCACATCACAAAATTTTTGCAAGCGTTATTAAACTAAAACAGAGTGGCGTTTTTTATCCAGTATGTTTATTTTTATCTGAAAAATATATTTTATTTTTTTATTTTTCTTCGATACCCTTCGATACCCTAAACCCCTCCTTGGATTTTCTGCCGTTTCAACTTCATCAATGAAGGTTGTCGTCGAGTTGGAGTCAGAAATGGCGAATACACTACGGCGAATGCACCCTGCAGACATTCAGAGGACCTTGACTCACATTAATTGATTGTTCATCGGAACTTCTGGATAAAGCGTGCAAGGAATAAAGATATATTGTAACTATTATTTCAAGTCCTGCTTAGCAAAATAAATTTTAAACAGTGTTCAATAAAATTGCTAAGTAACTGCAAAGTACAATAAGTTTTCTTTCTTAAACACGAATTTCTTTATTTTCAATATTCTACAATAAATTCGGACTTCTACTTAAAATATGTATATGTATAAATGCAGTAAAATGGAAAATTACATTCATTTCACGGCAATCTTTCTTGAAAATTTTCCATTCACTTTTTAAATCAAAGTATTATATGTCAAAAATTGTATGTGGAAGTCAATACGTTATATTTTATATATTAATGAATGTTTCAAATATAATTAGTTACTCCTTTCAGCGACTCTATCGGACCTTCGAAAATTAAATTACAGAAGATTTATAGTTTTATTTTCGTTAACAATAAAAAAACATGGAAAATCTCGATGATATATCTATTACACGGAATGTGACTCTTTCGAATCAAACTGGCAATGAGTTAGAATCAATTCTCGTGTTTTCGGGATTTCACAGTCCTCCTGGACAGATAAAAAATTGGAAAACATTAGCGAAAAGATGCCCGATAAATTGTGGGAATTACTACCTTCTGATTGGAGATATCTCTCCGGCCACTTTCGCCAATCAGATCGTCGGTATTTCTTAACTTATTACAAAGTTATTCTGTCGAGGATGATTGCGAATAATCGATAGGCTAATTAAAATTGGTGTAACGACAGATTTTTTGCAACCAAATACGGATACGGATCGAGAGAAATGGAATTATTGTATAGCCATGAGCAGAGATTGATAATTAATATGTATCTAAAACGGCGGCGATTTATCTAAAAGCGTACCTTGATGGTACGTACCTATAGATATGAATGATGTGCAATTCACATTTTTCTCATACCGCATCTTAAACTTTAAACGTATTACCTAATACATGTATGATTATAAAGGAAATACTATAATAATATATGTTTATGCATTGTATTTCAAGGTGGATGTACACGTATCGATATATCATGGAAATATATATATATTAAATATGTATACGCGGAGAAAAAAAATGTGTGTAATTCTCTCTTTTATTGTCATCACTCCTGTATCATTGATAATTTAATTTCCAATTTATTTTTATTTCGAAGCGTGTGACTTTTTCAATATATCTCATCCTCAAGCTGTAAGCGTAATACAAATTAACGTTTTTTTCTCGAGTTACGTGCAAAACAATTAACGTTGAAAACTCTAATGTCTTAAAACTGTTGAGATTTTAAAAATCCAATTTTAAATTGTTCATACTTTGATTGTTAATAAAAATTATAAATTTGTTGAAAAACCCGACTTTTTGAAATAATTTAAGTAAATAAAAAATATGAACAAAAAGATATAGTTTTTGCATTTTGCACCTGCAGAGAGGTAATTGAGAACTTTCAAAGTCACGATGATCTCTTTCTTGCCAGGCCGAGGAGGCAACGTCATGCCAGAGACCTGTAGGGTCAAGTAACTGGATCGTGACGTATGATTTAACTCGCAACGCGATTTTCTTGCGGCAAAGAATTACTTGATAAATTATAAGCATGTAACCCTCCTTACTTATGATTTATGTAAATTTATCTAAGAAACAATATATTATATCATATAAAATTGTTTGATTAATTACAGATGCAATTATTCTATTATTAATGAAAATATTTCATTTTAATTTTATTTATTTCCATTTTTTTGCAACAAAAAAAACAAATTTTTAACAATAAGAATAGTCTTTCACACAAATCCAAAGACTTTAAAAGTCTCTTCTTTGGAAAGTTTGATTCAATGTCAGTTTCTTTCAAACGTTTTCAAGTGTCAAAAGGCCTGTTCGTGTTAACTGAACTTCTTCACGTTGAAAAGAAAAAGAGAAAAAATGAATTGTGCAAAAGAAGTTCAGCTATAAAACAAACAGGCCTCCTGTTATTCAAGTTTCAGATTAGATTACGAAATGGATCTGCATGAAATTAAATGAAGATTGAAGCTGTTGTTAACTGCATGCGTCTTTAAAGTTGATTTGGATTTGTGCAAATTCTATCAACGATTTATAAAACTCGGAAACGGAAACACGAGATTCCTACATTAAAACAAATGACATTATTTATTTCTTTGCTTTATATTTCCAATATGAATTGTTAGGAAAATACTATGATTCGAGTTAATAGATTTTAGTGCAACAAAACTACATAGTAAAACATAATATCATTAATCTTTGCGTAATCCCATTAATTATTAGAGTTAATAACGTATTGATATCGTTTGTCATTCCCACTTTGTTTCACGGTTTATTTTTCCATATTTTCCATATTCAATGTTGTTTTAACTTAACAAACGATCGATAAGGCGTGCTGAGAATGACACTCTATCGTAATTAAATTCTTCTAATTGAAGTACATGTTTCTAAGACTACATCGATCTCGATCTCGATCTCGACCTCGGGAGGACCTTTGCGCGGGAGGAAGAGGAGAGAAGGTTAAACGAGTTAACCCCATAGAACCTAGATGACCTACGTCCTCGGTCCGAGTCGACTCTATATCGTAAATAATCTCTTGGTAGTAATGCAATGGGTATCCCGGATATATACATTCTTAGAATATTTTATCATTTGTGGCGCGCCTTTTCATTCATTGTTCAGTTATTTTGGAAAGATTGAAAATACGTATATTTTTCGTATATTTTTCGAAATTATAATTGAGAGCAGGTAAAAAAAATTGAATTGATAAGAACGATTTGCTGATCTAAAATGCTAGTTTATAAGAAATAGAACATTTATGTTTAGAGACAAATTCTACTGTTTTAGAAATTTAATATTGAATAATTGTATACATAAAATTAATGTCATGTTTATAGATCTAATAATAGAATATTTCTTTCATATTAATTTGTTTTAATGTTGTCAAGATTATTAAGTAAAATTTTTGTGTGTGCGCACACACACCAAACATATGCATAATGCAGAATTTATAAAAATTCATGCTGCTACGTGGGTGTTAATATTGTCTATATATATTTCCTTTTTTTCTTTCAATTTTTAATAGAGGACTTAGTATTTTAAGCTCATTATATGTATATAGTTCTGTTTTATTAAGTTAATAAAACAAGGTAACTCCACTTTAATTGACACATAATGACAAAATAAAAAAAAAGAAACACTTACGATAAGACACTCCAAGTAAATTGTAAACATTTTCAGTAATTGACGGTAATGAGAGGTGATTCGTATGTATGTCAGTGATGTAATAGCAAATGATGAATTCTTATAATTAATAGGCCAAGCTTTTCATCACGCACGTTTGCTCTATTAGATTCACCTAAGTCAATTTGTTTTTCTAGGACGATATGTGTGTCGCAATTTAGGTGTATTATATTTAACACTTCTATGATCCTATAATGTACATATATGATATGCATCATAACGGAGCGATATTTAATATTCTGATTTTCAAAGAGATTTTATTTTTTACCTTATATATACATATGATTTTTGTCTTAATATATCATAAATTATTATATATCATAAATCACATAATTAATTGGATTAATATTTCCAAGTAATTATTTTATCTCGATATTATCACATTTATTCATTCAGAAGAGTCCCGAGAAAATCAATTCTAAGGTGTCCTAGGTTAAAAAAGGTTGGAGATCTCTGATTACGAAATATGTACTGTTTACTGCCGAGTGAAAGGAGAGGAGGACGCACGAAAGACTACGAAAGAACGTAATCAGGAGAAGAGTTCGATGACACAATCGGTGAAGGAACCATAATTTGTGGATCACGTTCTGCACGAGATAGTTCAACGAACTTGGCTCTGTTGCCATATAGATTCATATTTTTCGGTTAAACAAAAACATGAAGTCACAAATAAAGATAAAGTGATCGAAGAGAAGGTCAATTTGTATTACAATGTTTGATTATGATACTTTGAATATGATACTTTCGATTTAGCATCGTTTTTCTTTCTTGTGACCATATATTACTGAAGTATGCATAAAACAACGTGTTATAGCTTCACCTAGCTCATAATATCAATTAGGTTAAATGCAAATATATTAATTTATTCAGTAAATGCGTTTCTCTCTTTCTCTCTCTCTCTCTCTCTCTCTCTCTCTCTCTCTCTCTCTCTCTCTCTCT